GTTACACATCTCTTCATTAAGTAGGAATTCAAGAAGTTTGAAAGACCTTGCTTAAAAAAACAGCATTATAATGTATTTTGCATCCCCCTCCTTGAAAACCTGTATTATATTTGAACTTCAATTGATTTGTTATACCTACGTAGATGGTTTCTAACTTCACTGAATTTTTAAATAAAGGAAATCAGATAATCAATATAATTTCAGGTACATACCTCCAAATAACTTAATTTATTCCATTTGCCTGATAATAAATGTTGGAAATGTAAGGAAATTGAAGGTACATTTTTTCACCTTTGGTGGACGTGCCCAAAGATTAAGGCTTTCTGGGAGATGATATATAATGAATTAAAAAAGGTATTTAAATATACCTTCTTGAAGAAACCAGAGGCCTTTCTCCTGGGCATAGTCGGCCAATCGGTGTTAAAAAGGATAGAACTTTCTTTATGTATGCCACAACAGCAGCAAGAATACTTATCGCAAAGTATTGGAAGACACAAGAGCTACCCACACTGGAGGAATGGCAGATGAAATTGATGGACTATATGGAATTGGCGGAAATGACTGGTAGAATCCGTGACCAGGGAGAAGAGTCGGTGGAAGAAGATTGGAAGAAATTTAAAGACTATTTACAGAAATATTGCAAAATTAAAGAATGTTAGAGTGATGTTGGATTGAAATTAAGTGGCTTCTAGCTGTACAGGCTTTAAAGTTATATATAGATTAAGATTAAGGATTAGGACTAAAAAAGTCAAAAGAAATGGAAAATTGGTTTTTAATAGATTAAAATTTAATGTTATATTATATTAAGATTAAGGATGGGATTAAAAAGGAGGGAAAGGAATTGCTGGACAAACAAATTGAACTGGAATACAAAAGAGGGAGGTATGAGGAGGTCCAGGAAATAAGTAAATGTAAAAGTTGTGATGAAAAGATGGAATTGTTTTTAACTGTTTTTTCTTTTTTCTTTTTGTATTTTGTACTTTGTATGGTGTTTTTTCTTTCTATTTTTAAATTTCTTTTTTTTTATTAAGATGTTTTTTTCATGTGAAACTCCAATAAATATCATTAAAAACAACAACAAATAACTTAATTTATTGTGTTTTATATGCAAATACAACAGTAGATACCCCCCTTCTCAGTCATTACTGAGGCGCTCCAGCCTCACTATCATTTCAAGGATGCCCCTGTCCTCTTGGCTCTGGGAATCCCCCTTACGTCCAGGAAAGTGTGCAAAATGGTGGGCAGGAGGGCAAGAAAGTTTGTATTTGCTGTCCTCAGCTGAGATACTTTAGCTATATACAACAGAGTGAGATTTGGGGATAATACAGATGTCCTGCCTAATCACTAGCTTCCTCAGGGACTGCTTTTCCCCAATAAACCTAGCGGGACCTGTGTTTTTCATCTGAGGCCCTTACTTGGATGTCCCCGCCAAGGGAGGGGTGTGTATGCGGGGGGGGGGGCACACAAGATCAGGCATCTCTATAATTGCTACCCACCTTTTAGCAGGGTGAGTATGAGCAGTTTTAGTTAATTGGTTTTTTAAAGAAAAAAATCTGATGTATTTTAAATTTGGTAGTGCATTTTTTTAAATTGAAGCAGCTCCAAGATCGATTTTAAGTATTAAGCAACTAAATATAATAAATAATTTGAATAATAAATAAATTGGGCAGATAGTAAACTTTTTAAAGAATGTTTTAAATAATCTTAGAATGCTTTGACTGCTTTTTATAATATTTTTCTTTTAAAAATATTTTATCACCATTATCATTAATGTGTTTGCCACCTTGGGCTCCTTTGGAAGGAAGGGTAGAATATAACATTTAATAATTAATAACAATAGTAGTACTTAGTTTCGTCCAAGTTCTCCAATCTCCAATACTGAGCACTGCCGAATGCCAGGTCAAAAAATAAATAGAATAGCAATGGCTATAGACAAGGGGTGAGTGGGGAGTCTCAGGTGCTGCAACAGACAAAGACGAGGTGTTGCTTCTCTTTCTAGGTACGCTGCCTGAATCCTCTAATTTTGAGTGGTGTTTACCTGTTAAGATCCTGTTGTTGTACCATGCACCTTATTGTTTAACAGTCTCCCCTGGTGGTATGACTCATATGTTTTCAGTGGTGTTGCACCCCAGGCTTATTGTTTGGGGGGGAATTCAGTACTTCGGCCAAGGTTAAGATGCCATGGCCTCCATATCAACTGTGTTCTTCACTGGTATTTGGTCCTGTACTCGGCTGATCATACCCACAAGTTGGTGCTTTGTTCTGAACCAGAGGAAGGTGATCTGTGGGTGGGAGAGTTGGAATTATTCCTTTTTCATGACTAGATCACTACCCACTTCAGTTTAGGCTTACACAGAATCCAAAACACTGCAGGTGTTGAAGGCCAAGTAATTTTCATTTAAAGAAAACCCTTAGGCAGCAAAAGAATTTCTCACAACTTGACAGGGTCAGCTTTTATGTTTCCATGATGTGGTCCTAGCTTGCCTGTGGACTGGAGGAATGGCTGCGGCAATTGACACAATTGCTCCTAGATGCTTTCTTTGGTTTGCTAGATGCTTTCTTTGGTTCCACAATAAATTTTGGAATCAGTGCTGTGTATCCCAAAGCAGCATTTTGGGGCAAGGTGTTGCAGTGCATGGTGGTGGATATATTCTAGTTATTTCTGGATGAGATTGGGTGACCTTGGGTCAATCACTTTCTGAGCCTGGCCTATCTGACAAAGGAAGGGATCGTGGGCTGGGCCAAACCTGTCCTGTAATCCCCCAAACATAGAATGCTGGCGAACAGCACTCCGGCAGATTATGTCATCGTTGCTGCTGTGAAAAAAGTACTAGAGCTGCATCCCTCCTGCATTCCTTCTCTACTGTGCCACATCTTTTATGTTATTTGCCATCCCCATGAAACTGCTGGGGGAGGTTTTCTAGAGATCTGGAGTACAGGGCACCCAGTGCTATTTTACCTTTCCGTCTGATGCCAGGGGAAGCAAGTTCTGCAGAAATCAGACTTGAGGTGGGCAAAAAAACCCTGGTGCATTCCAGACAAAACCTAGAAGTGGACTAGCACCCTTGCTCCATAATCAGGTCAACAGCCTGGAAGTGCTTCTGGATGACCAGCTGACAATGGATGCTGGATGCTGCTCCAGCATGTGCAGCTGACAATGGCGAGGCCAGGAGTGCTTTCTTCTAATTTAGACTGATATGCCACTTGCACACTGCCCAGGAGAGGCCAGACCTAGCCACTCCCACTTGTGTCTTGGTAATATTCACACTGGAATTCTGCATAGCCCTCTATATAGTGCTATCTTTGAGCTTGTAATATCGGGCTTACCACTGAGCTTCTTCCATCTTCATTGGCTTTCTGCCAGTCCTTCAGTTCTGGGGGCATCTTGGAACCACCTCATAAAAAACAGGGGCAGGGGCTGTCTTCCTTGAGGCTAGCTTGTGCACTTGTGGAAAGCTCACTGGTTGGAGACAGGATGGAAATCTCTCCCAGCATATCTCTTTCTTTCTTAGAACTTCGTTCAGGCTAGACTGTGCTTGTAATGTGAAGAGGCGCTCAGCCGATCAATAGTGCCTAAAGGTAAAGGGACCCCTGACCGTTAGGTCCAGTCGTGGCCGACTCTGGGGTTGCGCTGCTCATCTCGCTTTATTGACCGAGGGAGCCGGTGAACAGCTTCCGGGTCATGTGGCCAGCATGACAAAGCCGCTTCTGGCGAACCTCTAACCTAAACACATGCAGCGAACAGACATTGTTGGCATCTGTCTGTCTTGAGAGACAGTGGAGTGTGTCTCTGGGGGCGAAGTTAAACCGCTGCATTAGCAGCATGGAAGTCACCTTCCTGGGATGCAAGTCTGGCCAGCGTCATCTGGTCGTCATCAGTGTAATGCCAGATGACAAGACCCCCTTCTTGGCCTCGCTGATGTGCTCCAAAGGAAACCAGAGCAATACGTTTGGCACTGGTTTGGCTGCAGAAGTTGCTGGAAGGAGACGTGCAAGGCGCCATCCAACAGTCTTAGGGACTCCACTCTGGATTTGTGTAGGGTTTGCTCCTTAGCCTTTTCTCCTCCGGAAGATATCCCGCAAGGCAGTGGAGGTTTAGGACCAGAGATTTTCTTCTCCTGGGTGGGCTCCCTTCCCAGGTTGGTGACCCCCAATTGCCCCTCACTTCCCTCTGAAGCAGGTGCAGAAACCGCCTTCTTGACCACCGTTGAAGCCGCTCCGGGTCTCCTCCACTCAATCTGCATGCGAGGGTTTGAGCCCCACCGGCTCCCCTCGCCTGGTTTAGCCGGCCAGTCGAAGCCGTTCCCGGGGTGTGACCACTGTTCTCGGAGCCACAGGGGAGAGCTGAGTGCAGGACGGGGACCAAAGGGGGACAAGCTGCCCCAGAAGGAGCGCGATGTGGGCCCCGGCGCCCCCCCCCCCACCCACGGCAGTAGCAGAGGCGCGGCTTCTTCCCCCGAGTTGGGCACCTGGGGCGCCTCCCCTCCTCCGCAAGCACAGGCTCCGGAGGCGGGAGATGCCCTCGGCTTGGGAAGCGGCCCTCGCTCCGCGCGCGTCGCCCTCCGGGCGGATTCCCGTCCGGCTAGTCACGGTCCGGCTGCCCCGCGGCGCTGCTCTCATCCGGCCCGGTGCCAAGCCGAGGGGGGCCGAGGCAGGCGGGGAAGTGCCCGGGGCTCCAGCCGCGTCGCCCGCCCCACCCAGTGACATCAGGACCCTTCGCCGAGCCATAAAGGCTCCTCGGGCGCCGGAGCGGGGACGCAGGGGAAGAAGCCGCCCGGCTCGAGAGAAGCGGAGCCGCTTGACCGGAGGGTCTCTCCAGGCGCTTCCAGCCCGCCGAGAGCAACGCCGGCCAGCGGAAGGGGCGCGCCGGGCCAAGAGGGGCAGCTGGTCCGTCGAGAGCGAGGAAGTTGGCCAAACTCCGCCCGGGAGCCCGGACAGGTGGCGCGGCATCCCCTCCGCGAGCCTCGCCCGCCCGCCTCGCCCGCCCCAGCCCCGCAGACATGGCCGTCGAAGGGCGGGAGGGCAGCCTCGGGGGGTCCCCGGCCAGGGGCAAGAAGAGCGGCGCCCAGAAGAGCGCCGGCGCGGAGGGCGGCTGGGAGCTGGAGCAGGCGGCGGCCGGGAGCCCTCCGCCCCCCTCGCCCCGGGGGACCAAAGGCGGCGGCGGCGGCGGCGGGCGGCTGGCTCTGCTGCGGAAGACGCCCGAGAAGAACGCGGAGATCCTGAGCAGCCAGTACGGCTTGCACCTCTTCCTGGCGGGGCTGCTGCTGATGTTCGCGTGGGCCGTGCACGCCAAGGGCTTCTCGCAGAGCGCCGTCCTCTCCTACCTCATCACCCTCATGCTGCTGCAGATCCTCTGGATGGCCTGGTACATCTGCCGCCGCTACGCGCACCAGAGGCTCATCCAGGACAAGGACACGCACGCCGGGGCGCGCTGGCTCAAGTGTGAGTGGGGCGCCCCAGCGGGGCGGGGGGCGGGGGGCGCACGTGGATCCCTGGGGCCCGAGGCAGCAGCTCGGGCGGCCCGCGCGCAAGCCGCCAGTTGCCCGTTTGCGCGCTCCGCACTTGGCAGAGAATGCACCGCGCGCCCTTTCCGTCGAAGTCTGCGGGACTTTAAAACGGGACTTCGCCGCCTTCTAGCCAAGGGGGCCAGCAGGATTTTCTCTGCCCCATGTACATGCTGCTCTGCGGCACCGCCGAAAGAGATGCTATTTGCATGCGCTTTATGTCACATGCAAACTCGTAACTTATTTTGCAAATGGGGAGTGGAGTGCCCCGAAATAAATCAGGGATCGCACACAAGTAATAAAACATCCAACGGAGTTTCAACAGGTGAAGCTTTCCCTATAATTGTCCTTCCATACTACAAAAGGCTTACTCTATATGCCTTTAAAGCACATAAGAAGCACATCCCCCCCCCAAGAATTCTGGACAATGTAGTTTGCTAAAGGTTGCTCGGAATTGTAACTCTGTGAGGGGGGGATTAGGTTGCAAATGTTCTTTAAAGTCATGGTGTGCAGGCGGCATCTGTTTAATACCTGCCTGCAGGCTGCCACATAGCTGTTAGGGGCACAAGAGCCCTGCTGTCCTCCAATGCCAACCCTAAACCATACAAAGAACAACTTTCATGAGTTGCAAATGAGTCACGTTACTGTAGGTCTTTCAGCTGTTGAACTTAAGCTGGAAATACTACATTCAGTGCAAGACCAGGCGTGGTGTTTCAGATGGAGGGGATTAAAAGTGATTTAAGATTTACAACAATTTTGCTCAGATGATCCTGCTTAGGAAAATTCTAATTTTAATTAGTTAAAAATCATGCAGTGTATTCATGTGGATGTATGGTTGGATGGTCATCTGTCTTGGATGCTTTAGCTGAGATTCCTGCATTGCAGGGGGTTGGACTAGATGACCCTTGGGGTCCCTTCCAACTCTGTGAATCTATGATTTGTTGTGGTTATTTATTAGTACCTCATAATAAGTACTATCCCCCTTATTTTTCCTTTTTGAGCAAAAAGAGATTTGAAATCCCCGCTCAGTCTTGAAACTCATGTTGTGCCCTTAGTCGGATCACTGTCCCTTAACCTAACCTATTCACAGGCTTGTTGTGAGGATAAAATGGAAAGGGGGAGGGGAGAGAACATGTATGCTGCCTTGAGCATTTTGAACAACAACAACAAAATCCCATTTAAGTGTTTATACCAGCAGTATTCCTGACACACGCACACCAGAACCCACAGATTCTCCCATGGATGGGAAAACAACTAATCACCCCTCCCTGCAAATTGCTACTACAATCAATTTACCTTTCCCCCCCACTACAACATTTCCTTAGAAAAACTCCCAACACAACAACAGATTGCACAACAACTATACTCCAACTGTGAAGTACGCAGTGAACAGTATTACTCCATCCCTGCTTTATTCAAACATCTGCTGTTGTTTAAAAGCTGTCATTTTCCTCTCAGTGTCGCTCCACCCCTGCTTTAATTAAACTTCTGTTTTTGTTTAAAACAGCCAGCTTTTTCAGTGTTTCTCCCTTCTTGCTGTCCTCAAACATCCTTCCTCTTTTCTGCTGTCTCCGCACGGTGGTGCTGTGGGCTAAACCACAGAGCCTAGGGCTTGCCAATCAGAAGGTCAGCGGTTCAAATCCCCGTGACAGGGTGAGCTCCCCTTGCTCAATTCCTGTTCCTGCCAACCTAGCAGTTCGAAAGCACAAAAGTGCCAGTAGATAAATAGGTACCGCTCTGGCGGGAAGGTAAATGGCATTTCCGTACGCTGCTCTGGTTCACCAGAAGCGGCTTAGTCATGCTGGCCACATGACCCGGAAGCTGTACCCCAGCTCCCTCTGCCAATAAAGCGAGATGAGCGCCGCAACCCCAGAGTCATGACTGGACCTAATGGTCAGGGGTCCCTTTACCTTTTACCTTCACACAGTGTGTTTCATTCCTGATCCCATGGTCTTCAACATGGAGTTCCAGATTCAATGTAGCAATTTTAAATATATATTTTATTAACGAGCAAATACCCAGATAAGTACAACTTTCCAACTGAACTTAACCTTCTCTAACTAAACATGCTGACACAGACACACCAGGTTCCACCCCACATTGTGGCTGCCTGGCGCATCACACACATGATGTCACATGGTGCTGCACAGCATGCACATGATGTCATATGGCACAATGGGCCCCGTTGGACCCTCCCGTGACTATAACGAGTCCTGTTGGGCCCTCTGAAAGGCCTGTTGGGCCTTTTGAAGGGTGCAATGGGCCCTATCAGGCCTCGGCTCACCGTGCCACGTTGGGTCACCCAGCGGGGCACCCATAGTGAAAATTTTGTGAGTGCCTCGGTCCCCCAGAGATGGTGCTATTAATCTTAAAGATACTGTAGTGTATATCATCATGGGGTGTGTGCACAAAGGGGCTGCAGAATAGGAGAGAGGAGAAGGCATGGAAATGGGGGCGATCTCTGTGTAAGGGAGAGTTAAGAGAGAGAGAGGAGGAAAGGAAAAGGGTGGTGGTGGCAATGTGGGAACAAAGGTGGTTGCATGAAAGGAGGCAGTAGGAGGCTTGGAAATGGGGTGAAGATGAAAGCAGGGTCAAGAAAGGTTCTGCAGAACAGGAGAGGATGGTGGCTTCATAACTGGGCTTAGTGAAAAGGGTGCTTAGTTGTTGCAAAGTGTGGGAGGAGAATGATGTAGGAGGTTACCATGGGGGTGGTTTGGGTGCAAATAACACCCAGAACTATCATCATGGGATCCTCCATCAGTAGCCCAGAGAGTACTTCATCCAGCCTGGTCAAGGATTCTGCTGGGCGGCAGGGTGGTCAGCAGCTTCCCCAATCTGTCTCTCTGGCTCAACACCAGGTGCAGACCCTCTGAAGTCCATCCCAGTGTTAAAAGTTTCCTGCTCTTATGGACAACAGCAACACCCCTTTTAAAACCCCACTCCCCCATTCTCCGCTGGCGCAGTACTGAGAACCAGTTGGGCACAGTGAGGGAGGTCACTCCCCCAAGTCTCTGTAAAGCAGGCCAGATCAACCCATTCATCTGCAGTCAAGTCGTGGATGCGCATAGTCTTACTGTGGACTGATCTGGCATTTTGCAACAGCACCACCAGACCAGAGGGCTCAGTCAATTTGCTACCAGTGACTTTGAGAGGAGTTGGCGGGCTGGAATAAGGAACAGGGACTAAACATGTTGCTGATGGTAGTCAGCCTCTCCACTCCTTCCCACCACCGGAGAAATTTGGATAGCATCTCCACCAATCCCTGCTACCTGCTCACCCTGATGCATCACCACATACTGCTGGGAGATTAGGGCTACAGATTGTAAGCTAAGGTGCAGCATCATGCATATCCCACACTATCGGGAAGTAGATGGTAAATCCCCCAAAACTTGTCTCCCTCTGCCTCTCACTATGGGGGAAGCCCACCAAACCAAACTTCCCCTCCCCTTAGCTTGGGTGAGGGTCAGAGGCCAGTCTCCCACAGCACATGGCCTACAGTTCTATAATTGACTGACAATGTGGGGCACCCCTGCCCCTGTGGGACAACCCAAAGGGTAAAATCCCGTGGTGTTGCTCCGGGGGGGGGGGCATGCAGCTGAGCCTGTTGTATAGTAAGGCAGGCCCTGGAACACAACCCAGCTGTGTTTCCTATGCCAGCAATCAAGCAATATTCCACACTACAATCAGCACAAACACTCTTAGCTGCAGGCAGGTATCAGTCAGGTCAAAGAACTTGATGCAGAAAAACACACACTTCCTGTCTGGGAAGGCAGACCAGGCAAAGGCCAGGATGGTGCACAATCAGCTGTTCTCTGTAGGTTTGCCACTTCCAGTGTATGAATGCCTGGACTGCATAGCACATATATAATGCATGCATAGCATGTATTAGCATGGGACGTGCCTAAGTCTCTTTGCAAAGTTTACACATTTTGCATTTGTCATGTGGGGGAGGGGATTCACCCCCCCTTATTGTTTAGTAGTATTTGTAGAACATAATTTATAGAGAGTACCTGATCTCAGTGAAGAGAGGGAGGGAGGGGACTATTGGTATTCCAAGGATTAGAAAACGATGCTAAAGCAAGATAAAAAAGTGTACTGGAGGGTGAAATAAAGCTCAGGGCGGGATACCTGTAACCCAATGTAGAAACAAATCAGTCATCAATCAAATACTTCATGTCACTCATTGGCTAAAAACCACTGAAAGGTGAATGAACACTTTCCTTCATAACTTTCCTTTTAGGAGAGTTAAGAAAATAAAGAAAACTCAAGAGTCCTTGCATGCATTGGTCTTGGTGCAATTGCACCATTATAATCTGGCCACAATTTCATCTTGTGCATGTTTATTCTGAACTAGATATGCAGCCCATCATATCCAGTGGAACATAAGTCAGCACCACTGATTTAAACAGTATTTACTTTCAAGTAGGTATGGCTAGGACTGCAGCCTTATTCCACAAATGTATGCATAGAACTGTACTCTTGCAGCCTAGTTCCAACCAAGTTAACACTGAGTTCAGCATCAACTCAATCAGTAATTATGCAGTAAGTATGCACAGGACAGGACGCGGGTGGCGCTGTGGGTTAAACCACTGAGCCTAGGACTTGCCGATCAGAAGGTCGGTGGTTCGAATCCCCGCGACGGGGTGAGCTCCCATTGCTCGGTCCCTGCTCCTGCCCACCTAGCAGTTCAAAAGCACATCAAAGTGCAAGTAGATAAATAGGTACTGCTCCGGCGGGAAGGTAAACGGCGTTTCCGTGCGCTGCTCTGGTTCTCCAGAAGCAGCTTAGTCATGCTGGCCACATGACCCGGAAGCTGTACGCCGGCTCCCTCGGCCAATAAAGCGAGATGAGCGCTGCAACCCCGGAGTCGGCCACAACTGGACCTAATGGTCAGGGGGCCCTTTACCTTTACCTTTACCTTTATGCACAGGATTGCAG